TGAAGGGTAAACAAAGGAGGAGGCTGCAATGCTTGGTAAGAAATGTACGCATTATCCTGCCCATGTAATTGTAACCCCTCTGTACAGCATGTTCACAAATAAAATAAAATTTAAAAAAAATTTAAAAAAAAATAAGTGGGCCTTTGGAAAAATGATTTGAGTCAGAAGGGCAACCCTCATGAATGAGATTAGCACCTTATGAAAGAAATCAAAGGAAACGCTGGGACCCCATCCACTGTGTGAAGACAGCAACAAGCCTTCTCCACAGTAGAGAAACAGGGGCTCACCAGACACTGAATCTGCTAGGCTCTTTTTCTTTTCTTTTTTTTTTGTGACAGAGTCTCACTATATCTGTAGCTCAGGCTGAACATTTCAGATAGTACTACACAACTTTGTCATATTAACTTAGTCTTTCTTTTCTTTTTTTTGAGATAGAATCTGAATATGTAGCCTAGGCTGGCCTTGAACTCACTATGTAACTGAAGATGGCGTTGAGCTCTTAATCATCCTGTCTCAGTCTTCCAAGTACTTGGATTTACAGATGTGTACTGCCATCACTATACTAGGCAAAGGTTTTTGTGTGTTTATGGGTTTGTTTTTTTTAACAAAAAATTACAGATTAATATTCTGTGTATCTTTATCTTGTGGTCTCCTTTCTTCTCTGTAGTTTACCACCATCATGCAGTTGATGTCTTTGTTCTCTTCTATGAGATAAAATGAATTTTGAGCCTTTCAATAATGTCTTGTTTGGGCTGGGAATGTGGCTGAGTGATAGAGTGCTTGTCTAGCATTCATGAAGCTCTCGGTTCAATTCCTCAGTATCACATAAGCAGAAAAAGCTGGAAGTGGCAGTGTGGCTCATGTGGTAGAGTGTTAGCCTTGAGCAAAAGTAGTTTAGGGACCATGCCCAGGCCTTGAGTTCAAGCCCAGGACTGGAAAAAATTAAAAACAAAAAAAACCTTGTTTACTGCTTAATTGTTGCTTACTTAATACTATCTTATGAGATCAAGCTTTTACATTTAATATATTTGGTAAAATAACCAAATTAACTTTTACATTATTAAGCTTTTAAAATATTTTAATTTTGATTAAAGTTTATCTTCATTCTAGCCACATTTTATGGCACTACAGTATAAGAGAGGCTTGCAGAGAACTATAGTTTGATCAATAATTTAAAGGATGAGTATCAATAAGTTAATCTATCCTGCCTCTTAGAGTTTTTATCAATTAAATATGGTCACCTAGAACAGGTACAGCATATGCAAATACTTTTTGAGTATGTACTTGAAATGATAATAGAATTCCTGTGGGAAAAAATGTATTTATTACTGGAGAAGACAGAACAAAAAAAAACCCTCAAAATATAGGGGAAAAAAGCAGTCAAAAAGCAAAACAGTGAAAAGTAAAACCAAACATAACTGCTAGCAATTATGATGAACTCTCTTGGAAAAAAGCAAAAATATTCAGATTGGATTGATAATAGTAACAGCTAGGTGTGTTACAGAAGCCATATCCGAAACAACATGATATAACTTAAAAAAGAAGACTAGATCTACAAGGTAAACAAAAAGAAAGCAGGTTATCTATAATAATGTCAGTGTGATATCAAAGGAAGAATCATTAGAGATATATTAGAATCACTTAACTTTTTTTTTTTGGTCAATCGTGGGGCCTGAACTCTGGGCCTGGGCACTGTTCCTCAAGGGTAGTGCTCTACCAGTTGAGCCACAGTGCTACTTCCAGCTTTTTCTGCTTATGTGGTGCTGTGGAATCAAACCTAGGGCCTCATGCATGCAAGGCAAGCACTCTACCACTGAGCCACCTTCCCAGCCCCTAGAGTCACTTAACTTATTGGTCAAGATACAACATAGATTGGAAATATGAAAACTGTTAGACATACTTGGTATAACTTTTTTAGCCACTTGGTACATGTTTATTTATTGGGCTTTATATATATATATATATATCAACATATATATGTGTATATATATATATATATATATATATATCAATAGGTAAAGCAGATAAGCTTCCCGTCCTAATAGAGCTTTACTTTCCAGTGGGGTGGGAATAGGTATTAATACAGTAAACAGTCAATAGTCAACATAGTAAAGATAAAAATATAATCCACATAAGTATATTAAATCACTCATAAAGAATGTTATGAGATGCTAAGTACAATTGAATAAAAGGAATAGAATGAAGCAGGGTAGTCGGGCACCAGTGGCTTATGCCTGTAATCCTAGCTACTTAGGAGGATGAGATCTAAAGATTGAGGTTTGAAGCTAGCCCAGTCAGGAAAATCTGTGATAGTCTTATCTCCAGTTAGCTAGCAGAAAACCAGAAGTAGAGCTGTGGCTCAATAGACTACTAGTCTTGAGCAAAAAAGCTACAGGACCGTGCCCAGCCCCTGAACTCAAGTCCTAGTACACACACACACACACACACACACACACACGCACACACACACACACACACACACACACGCATGCGCACACACGCACGCACGCGCGCGCACACATACACACACAAGGAAAGAAAAAGGATAAAGTTAGGTAGTCGGTACTGAGAGTGGATGTATACCCATGTGTTTCATTAAAGTGAAGGAATTCTTTGGACTCTTATCCAGTTCTTTTTCTCTACTTATGAAAAGTTCTTATTGGAATTCACAGCCATATAATATTACTGTCTGCTAACTCTAAGTAAACTTATAGCACCATATATAGGCTTCTTGAAATTTTTCACTGTGCAAAGAACCCAAGCTACAATGATCAAGATACTAGAAACTAATTGGTGATGCCTTACCTGATCTTTTGGGCCAAGTATTGTGGTGCTTGCCTGTAATCCCAGAGCTTGTAAGGCTGAGACAGGAAGATTGTGAGATTAAGTCCAGCTTGATATAAAAAGCAAGACCCTGTCTCAAAAACCAAAATAATAATAACAAAAAAGTATTTCGTATGAAGGATCATATTTATTCTGAAAGCTGTTTTGCAAATCTAATGTAAGCTCTAAGTTATTCAGACTACTTTAAAAATTAATTATAGAATAAATCAAGTAAAAGATATGTCTAGTTTTTGTGTTATATCAGATTTTTTTTAAATAGGGCTTTGAAATATGCTGATGTGATTGTGTTATTTGGTGCAAGACTAAATTGGATGTTACATTTTGGACTGCCTCCAAGATATCACCCACATGTGAAGTTTATTCAGGTACTCAGAAGAGATTTCAGATCAGAGCTATTTGTGGTTCATTGTTCACCTTCTCAGCTATTTTCACCTCTGCTGTTTTTGGCTTTTGTAAAGAACCTCTTCTCTTTTTACAAAAATGAATTTTATAAGCTGTGTAATATAATTACATGTACAAAAGTAAGTTGGCTTTTCAAGCCTATAAAGCATAGCCTTCCACTTCCCACCAGAAAATCTTTTAAAATCAAGTTTCAAATGGTTTGGAAAGCATAATTTGCCTCTTTTTTACAGTTTGAGTGTATTTAAAGATAGAAAAAAGAGGTTTAATAGAGTTGTAAATTTATTTATTTTTTCATATAGAGTGGTAAATTTAGAATGAAGCATTTACCATTGTTAAGGAATGTATCTTTTGTGTGTGTGTGTGCTGGTCCTAGGGCTTGAACTCAGGATCTTGGTGCTGTCCCTCAGCTTTTGTGCTCAAGGCTAGAGCTCTACCACTTAAACCACAGCCCTGCTTCTGGCTTTTTGGGATTAATTGGAGATAAGTGTCTCATATACTTTCCTGCCCAGGCTGGCTTCAAACTATGATCCTCAGATCTCAGCCTCCTAAGTGGCTAAGATTACAAGAATGAGCCTACTTTTCTTTTACATGTAAAACCTTTCACTTTATGGTTAGAAATCTCTACACTACTCTGTTTTCACCCAGGAAACTATCCCACACCTGCTGAAATCAGAAACTCTGAAGTGGCCTCTTGCAATCTGTGGTTTAACAAGCCCTCTAATATATGCTATATGTTTGAATTTGAGAACCTGTGCTCTAGGTATTTATTCAAATGTAATTCAGTAGAACCTGGTTAGATTCAAAGTATAACTCAGCAAATCAGTGCATCCCTGTGAGTGTAATGGGCCATACTAAAGTTCCATACAGTGCACTTTACTGTATTTTATTTTTATTACCTTATATTGGTTATACAGAGGGATATCTGATTGTTACATTTCCATTGAGTGTATTTTAAAGTGAAAGAAGATGATAAAGTTCTTTTTACTAGCTGTAATACTCAATATAGTTCTATGAACTTTTGCAAAGGAACGTCTTTAATATCAAATGTTCTTTATCATATGTTATATATACTCAGTTCTTGTATTCAACTTTTAACTGATTTCTTGTAAGAGATTTAAAATAAACATCACCAGGCACTGGTGGCTCACACCTGTAATCCTAGCTACGCATAAGACTAAAGGATCAAAGTTCAAAGGCAGCCCGGACAGAAAGTCCGAGAGTCCATATCTCTAATTAGCCAATAAAATGCCAGACTGGAAATATGACTCAAATGGTAGAACATCAGCAAAAGCACAAGGCTCTGAGTTCAAGACACAGTATTGGCATATGTAAAAATAAATAAATAAAAGAATAAATATGACTGGTCATGGTTGGTACATGCCTGTTGGAGGCTAGCCTATGCTATCTACTTAGACCCTATCTCAAAAAGATTAAAAAAATAGATAGGCCTATCCTTCTGCCTTTTCTTTTTTAGGTTGATATCTGTGCAGAAGAATTGGGGAATAATGTAAGGCCTGCAGTGACTTTGCTGGGCAATATAAATGCTGTTACTGAACAGGTAAGAACTTTTTACCTAGAACTTAGCTTATGTTATAATCTTGATTTGTTTGGTGACAAGTCTGTTGTCCTTTTTGAACAAAAGTTATGATAGAGAGCACCTAAATCCAACTTTGGAACTTGGCAAATCCAGCTTGTACAAAGCTCATACTTATGTAAGTTAAATAATTTTGGAAAACACTTAAAAATTTAAATTCAGGGCTGGGAAGGTAGCTCAGCGGTAGAGTGCTTGCCTTGCAAGCATGAGGCCCTGGGTTCGATTCCTCAGCACCACATAAACAGAAAAAGCTGGAAGTGGCGCTGTGGCTCCAGTGGTAGAGTGCTAGCCTTGAGCTGAAGAGCTGAGGGACAGCACCCAAGCCCAGAGTTCAGGCCCCATGACCGGCAAAAAAAAAAAAATTTAAATTCATCCAGTAGGCAAACTAGGATGTACTATGTAGGATCCAACTATCTGAAAAATTGTAATATAACTTTTCAGCCAAGAAATGGTTTACCCACTGAACAAAAGCTTTTTTTTTTTTTAACAATAAAGACCTTTTTACTTTTCAGACTGTATAATCAGTGACTTCTCTGGGTTCCTATTAGTTTTACATAATTTCTATATTTCAGTATGATTAATTTGTGACATGATCTTCAGGTGATACTTATAGTCATAGCTATTCAATATCTAAGATGCAAGTACTGTTCATATGTGAAATTACTCTGGATCATTTGGTCTATCATAGGACTCTTAAGGGATTTGTCAGTCTTTCTGTAAGGGTTCTGTTGAGTACTGGTTCTCCTTGTAGTGTCAGAGATTGACACTAAGGTTTAAGAGCCCCTGAGAAGGAGGTAACACTTCCCTCTGTCCTATAGGAATCCTAACATCTAACAGAAGTCCATACTAACCCAGACAAACGCTTACCATGTTATCTATTTGTCTTCTATCAGTTTTGTTGCACAGAGGAAAAACAGTATGGACAATGTGAAGGGCAGAATAGTAGAACATTATAACTTTAGGAAGAGATTTTTCAGCTACTTTAGAGGCTGAGATCTGGAGGATTTTGATCCAAGGCCAGCCTGGGCAAGAAGTTAACAAAACCCTATCTAAACAAACAAGTGAAATCCGAGGCTGGCCTTGGAAAAAATACTAGGGGTGGGGCTCAATCAAGCCCTGAATTCAGATCCCAATATTACCAAGAAAGAAAAAGAAAGTTGTTTTATTTTTTTAAGGTATTAAGGTTTGAACTCAGGGCCTCACACTTACTGTGCTGGCATTCTACCTCTTTTTTTTTTTTTTTTTCTTGTTGGTTATAGGGCTTGAACTCGGCTTGGGCGCTGTCCCTGAGCTCTTTTGCTCCAGGCTAGTGCTCCACCACTTTAAACCATAGCTCCATTTCCAATTTTCTGGTGGTTAATTGGAGATGAGAGTCTCACAGACTTTCCTGCCTGGGCTCTCTTCAAACCTCAATCCTCAGATCTCAGCCTCCTCAGTATCTAGGATTATAGGTGTGAGCCACCAGTGCCCAGCTGCATTCTACCTCTTGAGCCATGCCTTTTGCCCTAGTTTTGCTAGTTGTTTTGGATATAGAATCTAACAGGTTTTTTTTTTGTTGTTTTGTTTTTTTTAACATTGGCTGGTTTTAAACCACAATTCTCTAGACCTCAGTTTCCTGAGTAGCTAGGAAAACAGGAGTGAGCCACTGGTACCTGACACAGAGAGATTTAAAAAAATTAAATTAATGCAATATAAATTTAATGTAGAAAATTTTTAAAATTGTGAGAGTTTTGTTTTTGTTAACAGCTTTTAGAACAATTTGATAAAACACCATGGCAATATCCTACAGAGACCAAATGGTGGAAGGCTCTGAAGGAGAAAATGGAGAGCAATGAAGCTATATCCAAGGTAATGTGGGACCCACTGAAACTCAGAGACACTTGGGCTGATGAGTTTCTTGGCTTTGCTATAACATGATATATGCATTCCTAGGAACCATCAATCTGAAAGATCACATGCTAATAATCATAAGGCTCAAAAAGGGGTGGTATTGCAGCCAGATGGGACAGTTGCTACTAAAATCCCTGGTAGCTCTTCTGTCAGCCCTAGAAGGCAGAGCACTGTACCTTGCTGGTTTTCACTCCATTCAAGGACTCTACAATTATGGATGTGACACAACTAACTTTTTTACTGCCAGTGTGTGGGAGTAGAACTGAATTTTGAGATTGTATTCTATAATCCTAACATTTTCATTTTAAAGTTGGAGCCATAATATTTTAGATAAAAATACTTTGGAATAAAATTTTCAGTTTTTCTGAGGCAATGTTTTCCCAAGAGTGCTCAAAATGGTTTATTTTTGTTTAACCCAGTGTTTCCCAGTTATGGGACTTAAGGACTTTCCAGAATTTTCCATGTTACTGTTTATCTAGGATCTCTAGGATAAGAGATATTTTCCAGCTTATTTTATTATGTCCTAAACTGGGATCTGGAACACATTATTCTTTTTTAAAATTTTTTTATTGTAAAGATACTGTACAGAGGGGTTATAGTTACATGAGTAAGGTAATGAATACATTTCCTATAGAGCATTGTTACCTCCTCGTTTATTTTCCCCCTATTATCCTTTCCCTTCCCACCTCCCCAACTCCTCCCTCCCCCACACCAAGTTGTGAAGTTCATTTTCAACATAGTGTCTTGTACATCTCGTTACAATGGGTCAGCTTGTAAACTGGTTTCAGCATTTTGTTATTTCAGGGAACCAGAATCAAATACAGTGACAGTGACAATAGGAGTTATACTATAGGGGGAAGAACATATAAAAGAAACAAAAATCACATAGTACATTAAAAACAACAGTGACAAAGAAAAAAAACCTCTTGTTTCCCTATCTTGGGGTTCATTTTGTTTAGCATCATTTTCTAAGGTCATATGTACATAGCTTTTGACCTTTTCTGCTTGTCTGGTAAGATTACACATTTTTCTTGTATGTCCCCATACATAGGTCAAAGTGTAGCCATGAGTATCTGATAGCTCATAGATGTTGCTCACCTGTTCCCAAATAAGTTTGATAGATAGTAGCTTATTGGCACTGTTTGTTTCCATTGTATCCTAATCTAATTTAGAGCATATTCCTCTCTCCTGTTTTAGGAGTTAGCTTCCAAAAAGTCCCTACCTATGAATTATTACACAGTATTCTACCACATTCAAGAACAGCTACCCAGAGACTGTTTTATAGTAAGTGAAGGAGCAAATACTATGGACATTGGACGTACTGTGCTTCAAAACTATTTTCCTCGTCACAGGTAAGAATTCTAAGAAAGACCCTGGCACCAATAGCTGCTACTATTCCTAGCTAATCAGGAGGCTGAGATCTGAAGACAGCAGCCTGAAGTCTACATGGGCAGACTTTTTGTTGGTGGTGGTGGTAGGATTTGAACTTAGAGCCTGGGCACTGCCCTTGAGCTCTTTTGCTCAAAGCTAGTGATCTGTTGCTTTGAGTCACAGCTCCATGACAGGTTTTGAATTGTTAACAGGAGATAAGAGTCTCATGGGGACTTTTCTGCCAGGCTGACTTCAAACCACAATTCTCAGATTTCAGGCTCCTGAGTACAGGCATGAGCCATCAGCGCCTGGTCTCTGAAAGACTGTTATCTCCAGTAAACCTGCAAAAAAAGAACCCAAAAAAACTTTACATTGGAGGTATGGCTCAAATAGTAGCGCTCCAGATGTGAGCAGAAAAAGCTGAGTAAGAGTGTGAGGCCCTAAGTTGAAACTCTACTACCAGCCAAAAATAAGATTTCCAAGAAGGAAATTATAATTAATTATATGTAATTTGAAACTACAACAATGCAGATTAAGAAAACATTTGAAGGGTTGGGAAGGTTGCTTAGTGGTAGGGTGCTTGCCTTGTATGCATGAGGCCCTGGGTTTGATTCTTCAGTACCACATAGACAGAAAAAGCCGGAAGTGGTACTGTGACTCAAGTGGTATAGTGCTACCCTTGAGCTGAATAGCTGAGGGACAGTGCCCAGGCCCCACGACTGACCCAAAAAGAAAACATTTGAGGACTGAATGTTCGATGTATAAGTATTCTTAGGTGAAGTTTTATATGCTTAGTATGTCTTTGGTAGCATGTGATAATTTGTATACTTAATGTTCTCTAAACAGACATGAGTTACTGTTTCTTCTCATGTTCCTTGTCTTTGACAATTTAGTTTCTTATACTCTAAATATTTTATGTAGAAGAAAAGGAGCATCTATTTTTTTGTTTTTTCTTAAACCATGTAAGAATAACTAGAAAATTTGTGCCAGCCCTACCCTCTGTTTCATTCTCCAGAGTTTTATTTTAGCTTTGTTCCCTAACAGGCTTGATGCTGGCACTTTTGGAATAATGGGTGTTGGTTTGGGATTTGCTATTGCAGCTGCTCTAGTGGCTAAAGATAGAAACCCCAAGCAGCGGGTCATCTGTGTGGAAGGAGACAGTGCCTTTGGCTTTTCTGGCATGGAGGTGGAAACCATCTGCAGGTAAAACAGAGTCCTTTCACATGAGACCCACTTGACTGACATAGTTGCCAGGTGTTCATCACTGCCAGGTGCCTTGTGTATAATATGGTACTGTGTCTTGAGGATCCCAAGTTAAGTGACCAGGATTTTTCTCTCCCAAGACAGTATGAGCATACTAAAAATCTGCATTGCTGTGGAAAGTAGTTTTGAGATCACTGAAGAAAAGATGTTGAGGCCTAAGAGAAGCTTGTTTTCTGCTGGGAGATGGAGGGCTTAGCCTCTGGGACAAGTAATCCAAATTTAAACATGGTTCCACCATGCCAGAGCTAAGTGGCACTCATCTCTAAAACAAGCATAGGAATACCTCCTGCCTTGCAGATGGTTGTGAGGACCAAATGAGATCATTAAGTTAACATTTCAGATGCAATTCAGTGAATGTGTGCCATTCATATATCTTGTAGTTGTGAGTATTCTTGGAGAAACTCATGACTGTGGCTCTACTATACAAGTATGAGAGCTTTATCCCTAGCTATATTTACCTATGGTAAAAACATTCTAAGTCAGGGCTCTTATATAGGTCTTTTGATATTTGACATATCAAAGCTTTGAAAGATGTTTTGGATCTTTCAAAGCTTTGATACATAAAACTGTCAAGATGAAGGGTGAGATTGCCTGTTAGAATATCTCTATTGACAACTAAGTGATATATACCAAAAAGATAATTTATGGGGAAATTAGTCTTCTAGAGAGTGATTACTCCTTTTTAGCATAAAGAACAAATAGTTACCACATTTCTCTTATTTAACAGTGGGCACTGTAGTTTTGTCTGTACCACCTGACCTCAGATATTATGTGTAAAGAAAGCAAGACCCATATTCTTTTCCAGTCACTAATGAAGTTTAATCAGTCTTTTTTTGTCTTTGTTATAGTGTATAGAAAATTGCTAGATGTTCTTTTTCCTCTACTGATCACACCATGCTATATATTTCTGATTACAAGTGCAGTGTTTTGAATGCACATTGAGAATGTTAGTCACAGTGTCTCATGGCATCTAGTAAGGGCTGCTTGTCTGTGAGGGGCTCAATTAAAAGAAATGTTACTTCTCAGTGCTCCTAGGAACCATGTGGGGTATTAATTAGGAAAGATGTTTTTCGTTTTCTTTTTTTGCATTTCAGACAAAATAGATGCTTTTTATTGGCATATGTGTGCATAGGCAGAATTAGTATCAGAATATATTAGAAACTCAGAAAATGAAACACCAAAATAAGCAATAATCCAATTGGTAAATGGACAAGGGATCTGAAAAGACATTTTTCAAATGAAGAAGTACAAACAGCTAATAAATAAATGAAAAACTACTTGAAAAACTAGTTAACATCTTCACCATCAGGGAAGGTGTTTTTCCTATTAACATCTGGATCTTCAAAAATCAAGATTCAGAAGAGTCCAGCAGTTTGCCCAAGATCCATAGCTAAAAAATGAAATAAGAATACTATCCCCCATTCTTGCATTCTTTTTACCACTACTTAGTGTTTCTGTTTATGATTTGGTATTCTTTACTAGGATATAAACACATGAGTTTTTAAATTTTCCTCTTCATATTATAAAAAGCCTATAAGATGTCATCTATTTTTAAAGTGAAAATTTCAGCCTAAAGAAAACAAATTGCCTTAGATTAAAAATAGTTTCCTCCATATTTTGCTTTCACTTACAGGTACAATTTGCCAATCATACTCTTAGTAGTGAACAATAATGGAATTTACCAAGGTATTAATACAGATTCTTGGAAAGAAATGTTAAAATTTCATGATGCAACTACAAGGTGAGTATTTGCTTGGTCTCATATATTTTAATCTGTGCTTTAAAAGTTTATTGTATCAGGGTGGCATATGCCTCTAATCCCAGCTACTTGGGAGGCAGAGACAGGAGGGTAGAGGTTTAAGGCCAATCAAGGCAAAAATTATCAAGACTCTAATAATGTATATAAAATTGAATATGAACAGCATATTTTTTTTTTGGTCCAGTTGTGGGGCCTGAACTCTGGGCCTGAGTGCTGTCCCTCAGCTCTTCAGCTCAAGGCTAGCACTCTACCACTTGAGCCACAGCGCCACTTCCGGCTTTTTTTTCTTTTTGCTTATATAGTGCTGAGGAATCGAACCCAGGGCCTCAGGCATGCAAGGCAAGCGCTCTACCACTGAGCCAACTTCCCAGCCCCTTAACAGCATTTTTTACCCATATATAAAAAGAACTAAAAAAATAAATGCTATAATAATAATCTAGTTGGGCTGGGAAGGTGGCTCAGTAGTAGTTTTTGCCTCTCATGCATGAGGCCCTGGGTTCAATTCCTCAGCACCACATAAACAGAAAAAAAAAAGTTGGAAGTGGTACTGTGGCTTAAGTGGCAGAGCGCTAGCCTTGAGCTAAAGAGCTGAGGGACAGCGCCCAGGCCCAGAGTTCAAGCCCCACGACCGACCAAAAACAAAAAAATCCAGTCAATAAGTAAGAGATGAATATTGTTTGTTTTGATAGTTGATTCTTAATAAGCCAGCCCTGTATTCCTGATTCCTCTGATCACATGATCTATGATTGGGTGCTACATAAATAGTTTATATTCAGATAGCCACTGAAGATTCACATCAATAAGTATCTTGTTAATGGCAAAGCTTATTGCAAAAGACCCCAAACCTATTATTCCTATACTAGGGAGAAAATATGGTCTTCCTTTCTGTTACTACATGGATAAATCTTGGTTATCTGATAACAGAGTCAATCTAAGATAGTGTTATAGCTGGCTATGGAGTACAGGACAGATGTAAATGTATGAGCTTGAGGTGGTACAGGATACCAACATGTTTGTTTATGCTGCCCTGACTTCGAATGTTGTATCATTGCTATTTTTCTGTAACCATTCTTTTTTTTTTTTTTTTACTTGTATAGTTGAAAGTGTAGGCTGTACTGTATAGTGTAGTAGCCACTAGGGCTGGGAAGGTGGCTCAGTGGTAGAGTGCTTGCCTTGCATGCATGAGGTCCTGGGTTCGATTCCTCAGCACCACATAAGCAAAAAGAAAAAAGCCAGAAGCGGCGCTGTGGCTCAAGTGGTAGAGCGCTAGCCTTGAGCTGAAGAGCTGAGGGACAGCGCCCAGGCCCAGAGTTCAGGCCCCACGACCAGACCCCCCCCCAAAAAAAAAAGTAGTCACTAGTCACATGTTACAGCATAAATTTAATTAACATTAAATGAAATTAAAAGTTAAACTGCTCAATTTAATTGTATTTCAGTCACTCATGCAAATAGGTGGCCAGTGGCTACCATATTGGCTATAAAACATTTCCATCATCACTGAAAATTCTGTTGGACTCAATTAAAAATGTAGAAAGCTAGATATAGTAGTATACCCTCATAGTCCCAGATACTCAGAAAAATATAGAATAAATTTTTTGTTATGTTAGACTTTTCATTACCATGATAAATACTTTTAAGAAACAGTTTATGGGAGGAAATGTTTCTCTCTCACTCTCTCTCTTTTTCTCTTTTTTGGTCAGTTGTGGGGCTTGAACTCTGGGCCTGGGTGCTGTCCCTCAGCTCTTCAGCTCAATGTGAGTGCTCTACCATTTGAGCTGTGCACCACTTCTGGTTTTCTGATGGTTAATTGGAGATAAAGTTTCACAGATGTTCCTGCCCAAGCTGGTTTTTGAACTGTGATCCTCAAATCTCAGCCTCCTGAGTAGCTAGGATTACAGGCATGAGCCACCAGTGCCTGCTGAGGAAATGTTTATTTTGACAGTTTCAGAGATTTTTTTTCAGTTCACGGTAGACTGATTCTGTTACGTAACCTTTGGCCTAAGGAAAAGTTGCACATCATGGCAGAGTATAAGGTACAACAAAGGAGCTTTCCTCATGGCAGTCAGGAAGCACAGCAAAGCAGTAACAGGAAGGGGCCAGGGCAAGTTATAGCTCCCAAGGCGTCACTTTCAGTGATTTACTTTCTCCAACCAGGCCCTATCTTCCACAGTCACCTTCTAATAGTTTGTCCAGATTTTGAATCCAGTCACCTCCCCAAACCCCTATCTCTGAACACTGCTCACAGCAAGGACTAAGCTTTTAATATATTAGCCTTTTAGGGGAATGTTTGATAACCAAACCATATCATTCGTGTACTGACATCTTAGTACCTCAGTATCGGAGGTAAAAGTATGTCTTTTAGCTCAGCTTAAAGTTTGTCACAAACTATTTCATAGAATGATTTTTTTCACTGATTCATGATTTTCTTTTCAGGGTTCCTCCAGTGTGTCTCTTGCCAAATGCACATTATGAACAGGTCATGACTGCATTTGGAGGCAAAGGGTATTTTGTACAAACACCAGAAGACCTCCAAAAATCCCTGAGACAGACCCTGGCCAACACAACTGAACCCTCTCTTATCAACATCATGATTGAACCACAAAGCACACGGAAGGCCCAGGTAAATGCACTTGTTATGAAGAAAGTAAAAATTCATTTTCTCTCTCCCTGTTCTTCTCCAGAAAGGAACACTCTCCACAGTTCTTTCTAAGCCATTTCCAAGTTTGATAATTTCATGTCTTATTCACTGAATAAGGTAAGATTCTGGCAGGTGTTCTGTGTGAGAGAGAGTGTGCCAAGCAAAACTAGACTTACAGTTCAGTGGGAGAGCTTACAGTTCAGTAGGGAGTAGAACAGCCCAGTGATCTCATGATTGAATAGTGCATGACAGTGTAAGATAACTGCCCAGAAAGAACCAGTTCTATCAACAAACATAAAACTAAAGAATCTAATTTTAATCATTTTGTTGTTGCAAAGTTATTACCCAAGCATGGAGATATATAGTGATCCCTCACCTATTATGGGAATTATACTTTAGAGACCCCTGTAATAGGTGAAAATCCACAAAGTAGCAGCTTCAGATACTTGTCCCTCACTATATTGTGGTTCACTTATTGCTACTTTGTGGATTGTCACCTATCATGGGGTTCTCTGGAATGTAACTCCTATGATAAGTGAGGAATCACTATTTCCCATATATACCTATATATTTTTAAAACTACGATATAGTGAAGCAGCAATATAGCAAAGGACAACTGTAGTTCTAGAGTTACTGAACAGTAGTCATACAGGTTACTATTACTTGTGACTCTTACAAGCATTTTTTTTTGTTGCTGTTGTTGGTTGTGGGGCTTGAACTCTGGGCTTGGGCGCTGCCCTTGTGCTCTTTAGCACAATGCAAGCCCTCTGCCTCCTGAGCCACAGCGCCACTTCTGGTTTTCTAGTGGTTTATTGGAGATAAGAGTCTCACAGACTTTCCTGCCCGGGCTGGCTTTGAACCATGATCCTCAGATCTCAGCCTCCTGAGTAGCTAGGATTACAGGCGTGAGCCACCGGCACCTGGCTACAAACATTCTTTTAACTAAAACAATTGCTGTACCAGGAAATTCTTAGTGATGGGTGCATTATTTATTTGGAACAAGTTCAGATAAGTTGCTTCTATTCTAAATTAATGGGGGAAAGGGGATTGATGGTAGGGGAGTGCTGAGAAAAGAAATATGTGTGCTTTTAGTACAGTATATAATCTTTCAGTGTTAGCAGTTTTACAGTCTTAGTTCCTAATTCTAGCTTGCTTTAGATTCCTGTATCACAAGTCTTACACTAGCCTGCCTCAGTTCTGTGATTGTTCTTATATTTCCTGCATTTAGCCACTTGAATATTATTTTCATTCCAGTAGAATTTTACATATACTACAGGCCACATGTGTAGGTTGCAATTGGTGCTTGTAAAAGCTTTTATGCACACTTCTTTCTACTCTCAGACTTGAAAGCTCAGACCTCTGTGGGCTTCCAATATCTCCTCTCTCCATTTGAGTGCATTTCTGTTTCTGCCAGACTCTATTGTCTTTTGTGGCCTGATTACTGTTAGTGGAAGAGGTCCCAGAAAGCCATTTTAGGTTGTTTCACAATGCAAGGCAGGATAAAGTTTATCAATTTTAGCTCTGTTTTTACTAGGCCAAAGGCAAATCATTTTATTACCATCGTATAGTACAGTACATTTGTTCTTTCTGACTGAATGCTATCTTTTCTTTCTCTAGGAATTCCACTGGCTCACTCGCTCTAATATGTAAATAAAGATGTCAGTTGATGGTCTTTGAGTTTTTCTTTCTTTCTTTTTTTTTGGTTGTGGGATCTGAACTCTGGGCCTGGGCGCTGTCCCTCAGTTCTTCAGCTCAAGGCTAGCTCTCTACCACTTGAGCCACAGCGCCACTTCCAGCTTTTTCTTTTTGCTTATGTGGTGCTGTGGAATCGAACCCAAGGCCTCATGCATGCAAGGCAAACGCTCTACCACTGAGCCACCTTCCTAGCCCTGAGTTTTTTCTTTCTTACAAAGTGGAATTTTATTTTCTGCAACATAAGTACACTAATATTAAAATTGTACAAAAACTTTATGAAGTATATTTTATAGTAAAGGAATGGATTAAAAACCGAAGACACTATTATCCTCAAAGGTTCATATGCTTTTAAAGGCTTGACATTAACCTGTGGCACTGTTAGTGATGATGGAGCCATCTGAAAAATGTTGCCCTTCCTCCTACATCTTACTCAGTCTGCCACCCTAGACCTTCGGCAAAACCAAAACTGCCTTTCCCTGAAATCAGGTGACACAGGCCTTTACCTGCAAACAGGTGACACACAGGCTTTTACCTAAAAACAGGTGACGTAGGTAGCTGCAATTTCAAATGGTATGTAATTTCCCTCTCCCTTATTTGTGCAGTTAAAACTGTAAATATTAATTAACTCCTTTCACAACAGTTTCCCACTCATGTCTTACATGAATCTGCTCTTATAAAAGTTGTACTTGTAATCCTGCCCAGCTGTTACTCTCTGCCTTCGACGTAGCCTATCAGTTTACTGACATTAAATCTCGTTGAATGTGACCAAGTGTCCAAGTAATTTTCTTTTCTTTTTTTTTTTGGTCCGGTCGTGGGGCCTGAACTCTGGGCCTGGGCGCTGTCCCTCAGCTCTTCAGCTCAAGGCTAGCGCTCTACCACTTAAGTCACAGTAATGAAAAGCAGAATAACACAATAGTCTACTACAGAAATAACTATTTAAGGGGGGTTGAGGGTTAAAACCTGAAGGTTTGGCTCAAGTAGTAGAACATCTGCCTTGTAAACACGAGGCCCTGAGTTCAAATCTCAGTACCACCAAAAAAAGAGTTACCTAATATAGAGACCTATTCAGTAAGTTTGGATATGTAGGCTAAGCTCTTTTAATTTGTATTTTGTCCTGATCACTTAATAGCTTAGTGCCTATTGGAACTTGTCCTATGTTTATGAATTGGTTGCTTTTTTTTTTTTTTCCGGTCGTGGGGCCTGAACTCTGGGCCTGGGTGCCGTTCCTCAGCTCTTCAGCTCAAGGCTAGC